CATTCTTGTTTGGAATCAAACAAAGTTTTTTTGGTCGAAAAGAAGAGGGGGAGGGATTCCCTTTTTGCGCCACAAACTCTGATGCAATATTCCTCTTTTTATTTCATCTGGCAATTCGCACTGTCAACACTTGAATTGCTGTGCCAGCCGTCAACCATTTAAGCAAATTAACTGTATAATTAAATTGTGCAGCATTGCCTCTCCCATTCATTCCACCCTCTTCATCTCTTTTCAGCACTTGCCAGGCAAAAGAAAGCGGAACAAAATCGTACTGAAATGTCTTTAAATTAAATTTCGAATTGAACGCAATGAACAATGTGACTTAAAGCTTAAGGTAAGAATTACGAATTAATTTAAAAGTAAATTTGGTGCCATTATTAAATTTGTTTGGCCCAAAAATCAGTCGAAATTGTTTTCCAGAATAGTCCCCTCCCCAAAAAGCAAACGTATTTTCCCCGTGTGCTCTACTACATAAATGCACACACAGTCAACCGAAAAAGAAGAACTCACAACTATTTTAGCCATGTAGACAATATGTTGCTGGTGCTTTGTGGCCCACAGTTTGCAAATATTTATATTATTTGGAACGCCGATTTAATGCGTTATTTTGTGCAACATTTTGTGCCCTGAATTGAGAAGCCGGCTCATTTAAGCTCTGGCATAATCACTCTAATTGGGCGTCTAATACAGTGGAACATGGCATGATAAATGCCTGAAAGTGAGCACTAAATATATTTCATGTTGATTTCGGTTTTTGTGTCTTTGGGTTGATTTAACCTAATAGTCGTGATTGTTGCGGTCTGATGACGATTTATGGGTTTATGTGATTTTTATGTGTACAGGCGGACAGGCCAATGTTGGCAACTACTCGGATGAGACGTACTGACTTTGATATTATTTTATGGGCCTGCTTCTGGGCTGCTTTTTATTGCCAACGATTACGAGACAGTTTTCTTTCGGCCGAAAGACAATCTCTCCGACTGTGAGGAGAAGGCGGCGGCTCTTTTAGTGCTGGCTTTGCCAAGAATTTATGGTTTATGGATTTTGTCAAATTATGTGATACGTATTCGTGCTGAAACCTTTTGTCTATTGAGACAGCAGTCAATGCATATGGGTATGGGTATGACAAAAATATGAAATGAAATGGTTAGCATGTGTGTGTGTGTGTCCTGCTGGTGTCTTGATAATTTTACATTGGAATTGCTCTTTGATGTCACTGCTCATTGTTTATGTGTTTACTTCTTGTGTTTTTTGCATCCATAAAAACATATCAATGTGTATATTTTTATTGTGTTACCACAAGGCAACCATAAAGTGGAAATTATATCGAAGATTATGATTGTTATGCGGCGACATCGAATTTATGCTTCTCCAGGCAAATAAATAAATATAAATTGAAAACAAAAGTTGGGTGGGTGGGTTACAGGTTGTGTGCGGATCCGAAGTGTTCATCTGGATATGCAAATGTCTTTCCATCTGGTAATTGGCAATAAAAGTAGGTAATCCAACAGATACTTATGTGCCAACAAAGAGCTGATAAACATTTAAAATAGCAATTGCCATGGGGCCAGAGGGGGCAAAGCTAAATTCACAGATGTGTCTTTGACTTTATTTAGGGGCTGATACTCCCACTAGCTAGCCCTATTTTTTGCTTGTTTCCTTATGCACCTGCCATATATAATTCAATTATGGTTAAGAGTTTTAGCATAAAAAGAAAAAAATTGCATGCTTAAATTTAACAAATTCTTGTGCAAATTTACACTGGTTACTGGTTACATTTCTGCCACAAAATACTCTTTGGTTAATTGCCACAAATTACATAAATGCCAAGCTTATGACGAGTGAGTTGCTCGTTAAAATAGAATGGACTCCTAATGGTCATTGCATTTCAAAAATTCAAAGCAGCTTGGTTACATACTCCCACATACATAGGTATATATGTAGGTATAAGGGGTAGCAAACAAATGTCTAATTGTGGCAGAGAAGGAGATGGGAGAAGGGAGGAATGTGGTTTCAAAAGAAATCAGGTACTGCTTTTGAGAGATTGTTGTCTGGTCGTGTGGCAGTGTGCTGCTTGTAAACAATGAATATGCATGAGTTGCCATGAAGCATGCCACATCCAACTGCAACAGCAGAAGCAACCTCCGTCTGTGTGTGCAGGAGAATGACAGAAAAAAGCAACTTCAATTTGCGAAAGTGATATTCTCCAAGGCAGGAAATCAAATGCCATCGAACGACAGGAACTGTGGGAAAGAGACACGGCTAGCACAGTCCTCGATTGACAGGCATAACGTTGATTAATTAATCCCGTCGATGACAGCCTCGGCAAGCTTTATCTGCACGGAAATCGAAGTTAGTCGAGCTCTCCCCCTTAAGAGCAAAGTACAGCTTAACCCATTTTGTTTGAATGTGCCCCGTAATGAACATACCCAGGGCATATAGTATGAATATGAGAGAGATTCTTTGGCAGAAAACTTTCACAACGAAGTTCTAGTCCTCAGGGGCTGATGATTCCAGGCATTTAATCCCACTGCTCTTGTGGATTTTCTTGCGTCCCTGGCATAATCTGGCAATTAGTAAATGTCAAATTCCCCTTCTGCACAGCATAGTCACAGCATTGAAAGTCAAAATTTACAGCTTGCGAATCGCAGTATATCATCGGAGCTGCCTGGCGACAGTTCTGTGCTTGTAAATATGCAGCGGAAATTGCAGCAACGCATGTGATTATGTTATTTCTATCTCGGTGGAGCAACGACGAGGCATGGAGGCATCCTAGATATGCAGATATGCGTGCATGTCTTGGTGCTTGTGATTAAACCCCCCCTCCCACTTCAAGGTTGAATTGTTGCCACGTTGTCTGGGGTTGTCTTGAGAAGCAAAAGCTTATTTAGGTTTAGGTTTATCTTTATTAAGAGTTTAGTATGAATGGAGAATGTAATGATTAACAATTGCCTCTCTTGTTGCAGAATATTCAGACTCTAGTGTCATATCAAAGAGATACGATTTTTTCATATCTATGCAGATATTCACAAACTAATTTATAAATATTTTTTCAGGTTGTCTCAGGTGTCAGTCTCGCCTAGCCGAGGAATCAAGACTCCCCAGGGATATTCTCTAAAAACTCGAAACTAGAAAAAGTTTCGTTTTGAATGAAGCTAAGCGATGGATAAGAGAAGGTATCAAATCGGAAATGATACAAATAATTATTGAATAATACGAAAGTGCTGTGATCCTGTATCTTGGATGATTATTTGGAGGTGCTTGGATATGGCTTAAATAAATAAGTTTGAAATTAAAGAAAGCTATTCAAATGAAAGCAAACCATATGCTGTCGGAATCCTTGCAGATGTAGGAAGATGCGTGCCTGGAGGGCAAGTCTGGCCCATTCAAAATCACAAATGAATAATTAAACATAATTAGCAACTATTAGGGAGAACACATTGCCCAGAGGGAACCCGAAACCGAATGTAAAGCGCAACTGTGACACACAGTTGGCTAGCTCTGGGGCATCCCGGCCAAATCAAAGCGAATCAACAGCACAAATAGCAGAGGCTCCAGAGAGGGAGATACATGTAGAGGAACAGGGCAAGGGCGGGAGGCAGTCCCTAATAAGTCAACAGCAATGCATAAATTTTGGCCATATTGCGGACCAAGGTGGTGATGGTGAAGGGGCTCTGTCCAGGTGGTAAACCCCCAAACGCAAACCCAAACCCGAACGCAAAGACCAAACAGGGACGTGCTGTCCAAGTGTTTGCCATTCCGACTTTGCCAAATAGCCCAAGGACAGAGGGGAAGGAATTTGCTGATTGACAATGTGGTTCTCTGCGTACCCAAACCCCCTTCAGCGCTGGTCAGCAGCAAATTTGGCAATACAACAAAACGCTTTAACCTCTGGCAGGCCGCACACATTTCAATGGTTCCAAATGTATATAGAAAGTTGGGTCGAGGGCGCATTAAAATTGATTACCCCAACATTTTGGCCCATAAGTAAAGGCCAGGATACTCGGTGTTTAAGGGTTTCTCGCCCATCTGGGGCTCAAATGGTTTATCTTTTGCGGTGCGGCAGCTACTAATATTTCTAAGGAGTTCTCTTATTGCCGAATTAATTTAAATGATAATAATTTCCGCCCTTCCATAAACGCTTATCAATTACCGCAGTCGGATGCTTATCGCGTAATCCTTTTTAAATGATTGCACAAACAAACGGATATTAATATCATAAACAATTTACATATACTCGTACCTCATCCCACATTACACATTACACATTGTAATTCTGTTTATTGCTCGAGGTTATTTAATATTCAATTTTCGGTACCCGCTTCTCGTTTCTTGGCGAGTACCTCATAAACTGGCAAAAACTCATAAAACCCATGGCAAACATATTCTAATCCGGCACATGCCAAAAAAAGGCAGACAAATATGAAAATGTACATATATGCATGAAATTGAAAATGTAAACACCGAATGTAACACCAGCCACGAGTATATTGTAAATGCAAAATTGCTTGCATATATTAGATTATTAGATTCAGCTCAGGTGAATGTGAAAATATGTTGCAGTTGAGCTTGCTCTTTGGGCATTAAAATAAGTGCAATATATATATATTTTTTTTTTTTGAATATTCGCACATTTATATGGAAATATTTGGATTTATAAGTCTTAAAAATAATTCATGAAATTCCAAGCGAATTTTTATAATTGGATTAAGGTAAATTCACTTTATTAAGTATTTCTTTGAGCAAAATTTAGTTAGACTTAAATGGAATTTAGTTTATTTATAATTTCGTAATAAAATTACAATTCCAAACACTCGAATTGTGTATAAAAAATTCACATTGCTTCACATTTCAAAAATTCTTTTAAACTATTAAAACAAATGTATCCATTATAAACATTAAATACGAAAATACGAGTATTATTAAATGAACAAAAAATGTCATTGGAGGAGCTGTGCGGCCTCAATTCTGTACTTAAAAATACAAACTGCTTAAATTTCCTGAATCCGATGGACGAGAATTTTCAGGAGTGCACCAGCAATTTCAGCAACCCATACCGACTGATGGCTCCAATCCCTGGCACACCAGATTTGACGAATGCGAGCATTAAGATTGATCACGGCACCACCACTCTCGGGTTTGTGTACCAGGGTGGGATTGTCCTATGCGCGGACTCACGCTCATCCATTGGCATAAACGTGAGCTCCCAAAAAATCAACAAGATCGTGCCGATCAGCAATCACATTGTGGGCACTCTGGCTGGCGGTGCGGCTGACTGCAAATACTGGTATCGGGTGCTGGCGCGCGAGTGCCGCCTACACGAGCTGCGCTACAAGAGGCCGATGTCCGTCAACGCTGCCGCCAAGATGATCTGCAACGTGTCTGACATGCACCGCGGAACGGGCCTGAATATGGGCATGCTGCTGGCTGGCTATTCGCCAAAGGGTCCGTCCCTTGTCTACGTGGACTCTGACGGCATGAACATCAATGGGAAGAAGTTTTCCGTGGGCAGTGGAGCGAGTAACGCACTGGGCATCCTCGACCCGATGTATCGCTTTGACCTGACTGACGAGGAAGCCTTCGATCTGGCCCTGCAGTCGCTTTACCAGGCCACCGTCTGTGACGTCTACACGGGAGGACTGGTGGTGCTGTATCACGTCGGGCCAGTGGCCCATAGAATTGTCCGCGAAGTGGACTGTATGGAGCTGCATAAGAAGTACAGTCTGGATGCTCTGAGCCACATTGATCCATAGTAATTTCAGTCGAGATGTTACCTTTTTGTTTGTTTAATTTTTTACCTACAACAAATAATTAAAAAAGAATTTCGAATGCGCTGACTATCAGAAATGTGTGTGTCTAATTGCCTCTGATTCTGTTTGCTTCCAATTTTCACTCAATTTTAGCAGGCTCTTCAAAGTTCTACTTCCGTGAACCCGTTTTGGGAAGCCCAATGGTGAGTGGGGTTGGTTTTTTTTTTCCTCCAAATTCGAGTCGCTAATCATTTTGCGCCAAATTAACTGCTCCAAGGGAATGCAGAGATTTCTTTTGCTTTTTGTTTCGAAGACACTTTTAGGGGCAACAGCACATAAAATAAGTGAACAGCCATTTTTTGGACACGGGCAGAACAATTAAGTTAGCATTTAAGTCGAATAAGGGACAAGGGCAGACACAGCAAAGGGTCTGCGAGTGAATCTTTCCATGCATAAATCAATGGCAACAACATTATTTGAGGATGGGGGAGAACACGGGACGCAGGGCACGACCAATGCTAGGGAAAAAGGTCAAATACTTAAATTTGTTCTCGTTCTGTGTGCTTTGGGTCGGGAGCCCCAGCAATAATAAACAAGAAAGTGTGAAATAAAGCCAAGTGGACATAAAAATTTGTATGTCCAGCAAGAGGAAGAGGCACCAGACCCAGAGAAAAAGGAGAAAAATTGCAGGCACAGCAATAAAACACGGCGAATTCTTTTAATTTGAAATGCTGCGCCTTGGCCCATGGACGAGAACAGGACCAAAAGTCTCCCGAACTCTTTGTTTCTTCTCTCGTTCTATTTTTTAAGTGATTTCTCAGCGAATGGGATTGGAATCGGGGATCGGGCAAAGGTGTGTGGGCGCACTTATAACTCTTGTATGGATTATAAATCCCACTGGGCACAATAAACTGCTTTATTTGCAGAAGTTTTGCGCTTGAAAAGGCAACGAGAATGGGGGCGAGCGATGCGATATAATAATACATATTCAAATCATTTATATGGATGTATTATGCGGCCTGCTGAAAACTGAAATATAAAGTTTCAAATCAACATTTGCATGGCAAATAAGAGCGGAATATAATTATGGTAGTGGTTGTTGAACAATCGTTTAATGTTGAATTAGTTCGACCGACATGTACGTTTTTGTGTGCATATTTCTATTGGATATTTGGTATGTATTACATGGATTTTGATATTTGTTCGTCTGTGGCTATATGTAATTGTGTGCTCTACTGCGTTCGATTAATATGTATGTATGGATCTATATGTATTTATGTATTCTAAATAATATTGGCAGGCTGGGCGTACAGAGCGGTCCACTCACGTGCCAGGCGGTCGTGCTCCTCTGGATTGATTATTAACATTGTGCTAATGATACTATCGAACGATCTGTACGGCTTGGGATTCTCCAGCAGCAATTGGATGGCCACAAAAACATGCTCAATGCGCGTGACCGGTGACCAATGTTCACCCAGGATTTCCAGAGTTATACTTCCAAATTCGTCCACGTTGCAATGATAAATCTTCGTGGTGAAGATCACACGTGGTGGTAGAAAAGGGTATTCCTCTGAAAAGCGTATATCCAAGTGGAACTGACCACCCGCGTAGGGAGTGTCAGAGGGTCCGAGAATGGTGGCCACCCAGTGCCGGATATCGCCCCTAACGATATCCGCATGGCAGCCTACCAGCGGATTGCGCGTAATAGCGATGAACTCGCGAATGATGCGACGAGTGTACTTTGCAATGTCTATGATGGGTCTGGGAACAGGAATGGGCCCAAGATCGGCCTCAAGCTCGGGCTCAAGCTCGAACTCGGACACAGCACAATCAATTTCACGAACTTTCTCTCGGGGTGGCATTATCTGCAAGTGCAAGAATAAAAAATAATAATGAGACTGCAGTTAGTCTTCCTAGCTTACCAGTTTTTTTTTTTGCACAGACCGAATATACACAATTTAATTTAATTTTAGAACTTTTCCATTTGCTTTCGCCTCGGTTGATTTTCCAGCACTGTCCCTCCAACACTATTTGTAAAATGGCACTTTGTTCAAGAAAATTGGGAATATATTGGATAAATGCACTTTGTTTCAGGTATTTTAATGTGTAATTACCTAGCAGGGGCAGCAGGGGAAATCCGTAGAAATAGTTTGCTTTAGTAAATCGCTTTTTCCTAATCGAACAACAGCCGTCAGTCAGTCCTACACCAGCCTACTGCGACTCATTCGATAGGGTTGCTGAACTGTAATGGCGTATTGACATTAGACTTGGCTAGCTTGGGTGTGAAGAGAGAGATTGCATGAGAGGCAAAATGCCAAATTAGTAGGCCATCAAAATTGGATCTGAAAAGTGTAACAATCGATCATCTCTGCCGCTCAAGCTGAAGCGTATATTTTTCTTGCTCTCACTGCAGGCATTTCCCATAAGGCTATCTCTATTTTTGCAGCTAGTCTGTCTAAAATCAAAGCACCATTATATTATCTCTTTGGTTTAATATGCTGTTATAGCTTACAAAATATCAATTAGGAAATTCTAAACTAACTTTAGCAATCATAATCTAAGGAAATAAAATTCAGCTTCCGCCAGGCTATGCAATCTACATACATATATGCCAACCCTATTTTTTTTAGCCTATTTACAATAGACTATGGCTGCGCTGCATAATTGAGTTTATTCCATTTTTTACAACAGCAGACATATTTCCCTACCATTCTTCATAAAATAGCCGCCCCTCTCGTTCCAGAAGTGCATTTAAATTATGCACAAATTGGCTGATCTTACTTCTATAGCCACTGGCGTACATAAATATTTTACGATATGCGAAAGTTGAAGTTTAGTTTTAATTTAGTCCTTTATTTCAGTTTGACATTAATTTGATGTTCGAGTAGCCCCTGTGTAGCCCATGTTCTGTATTTGATTTGTATGGTGGCCGCTGTTAATGAAGGTGTTTGCATAGTTTTAGACATGCTGTGTATCTATGTATAGGATTGTGCAGATGGTGAAGCGCCAGCCTTGGCGTAGCGAGCGGTCCACTCGCGTGCCAGGAGGTCATGTTGCTGGCGGTTTTTCTTGTACATATCGGCAACAACGCAATTCATGGGGCTGTCCGGATTGGGATCGGCCAGCAGCGATCGAATGGACAGAAGCAACTTTTCCACGGTCAGGGCCGGCGACCAATTCGAGCCCAGTATATCCATGCAGACGAAGCCGTGATGTATGTTGCAGTGGTAAATCTTGGTGCGGAATTGTAAAGACGGTGGCTGAGACGGGTACAATGTTGGAAATCGTATGTGCAGCTCAAAGTGACCGCCCTCATAGGGCGTCCCCGAGGGCCCGAGAATGACGGCCCGCCAGTTGTAGATGGAGTCGCCAAGTAGCTCCACTTCGCACCCATCGGTCGGTTCGCTCTTCATTTTCGCCAGCTCGCTGTGGAGGCGGCGAAAGCCAATGTTAGTTCGCATTGGGTTCGCTTGCGCCGCAGCTACGCGGTTAGCGTTCTCCGGCGCTCCGACGGCTTCCAAAGGAAGAATCTCGTAGCCGAAATGGAAGACATTTTCAAGGTCGCTTATCATCGGGAAAAGGTCGGGAAAAGCGTCGCCTGTGCTGCGGTAGACAACTGTCTGGCCCTCGGCGGACGGCTGGTTGGCAATGCGACGTCTTGCAGCGTGAGGCCGGTTCCAAACGATGGCGGCTGGGCGATCACTATCACGGCGGTAGGTGGCAGCGCGCTCGTTTGCGGTGATGTTGGCCGCGCGGCGGTAAGCATTGCGGCTGAGCACAGTGAGGCGGATGGCGGTCCGGGTGGCAGTGGACGCCCGGCTGGCAGCGCGGCGGCGCAGTCCAGTGCGCTGGCGGCTTGCAGTGGTGTTGGTGGTCCCACGACGGGACATAATGCGGCGACTGGCAGCAGGCTGGACGGCAGCGGACGCAGCTTCCTGGTTGGAAGCTGCATTTTTGGCCAATATACGAGCACTGCGACGGGGTGACATTATCTGCAAGACGTTAAAGATACTTAGAGACACTTTGACACGTGATGTGATGCTTTTATTTTTTGCTTACGTTAAGTTATATGTTAATAAATGAGTTAAAATGAATTTTTCAATTAAATTTGTTTCCCCCGAACGCTCTGTACAACGCGGCACATGAAATGAAAGTGAGATATTCCACTTTTAATGACAGGAATTAAAACAGCTTGCTTTGACTCGCTTTGACTCGCTTTGCAACACTTTAAATTTGGAACAGCTGTTTCAACTTTTCCCTGCTTGTGAATATTATTCTATGGACAAGAAGAACATCGCCATGATCTCCAACCAGCTGCCGTATCTTCGCAGCTACCTTTACTGACAAGCAGACATATTACCACCCCGCCATTTATATGGCTAACAACTATAAACTGCTTGTGCTTTTGTTTTATGTGTCCCCGCTCGTAATAAATGCTGTTTCTGTGCCATTTTCTGCTCGTCCCTTTCTAGTCCGCCTTAAAACAAGCAATAAATGTCAGCGACTCTGACTAGGCTGGGCATAAACTACAATGGCCAGGAGATACTTTATTTAACACTTGCATGAACGGACATAGCCACGGAGGCAGCATAGCACCCGGTGAGATGGCCGTAAAAAGTGCAGCTCCATATGAATGAATGGACGAATGGAATGGAATGGAATGGTCTGTGGATGAGGGCACGTGCACACCTCGTTATTTCTATGGGATGCAATCAAAACGAGTCCACGAAGGGGAAGCCCAGCACTTGAGACTGAAAAAAAAATGCCTGAGACAATAGAAATGTCTGCCCCATTAGGAATGGTTGAGTGCTAAGCATAACTAAAACAGCCGAGCCATCCTCTTTTTATACCAGGTAATCGTGGAGTGCAAAGGTATATTGCACTCGTTTAGATGTGTTTATTTGTAGAATTTGTTAAGCAACAGTAAGATCTAAACTCAACAGCGACGAACATTTAATAAAGTCATGTGCAGTCCTATGGAGTCCTGCTTCCAGATAGATAAACTTCGAGAAACTCCAGACAACGAAACGGACAGGGGCTTTGGTGGTCCACACACTCTGCAGTTTTTAGGACCACATCCGAACGGTATGGTTCATCGATCAGTTCGGCAGTCGTCGGAAAAATCACCACAGTCGAAGCTTTCCTGCGATTAATGAGATCTCGGATCCGGTATAGCCCAGGGCCAGTATGGTGAGTTCGTTGAGCTTATCGAAAAATGTAGACGATGTTGAAGCAACCCTGTAAACCCTCACGGTTGATGCTGCCATAAATTCAAAATGCAGTTGACTTAGATTCTCTTCCTTTATATCTTCGCCTTTTTGCTATATCAGGGATTTATTGTATGCGTTTTTCACAAAAATTAATTTCAAATCAGGGATGCAAGCTTACATTTTCACCAGTGTGCAGACACCACACACTGCTTTGAAATTGACGATGTCGTGATTTTACTGTACTGATATATTTCTTTAAAATATTTTATAAATAAAAACTTAAATTGTCTTTATTATATTTTTCCTGAATTATTGTAGTTTATTTACCGAGCTTAATCATTGAAATCGCACAATTATTGGGTGTTCTTTTGCAATCTTCCCACATAGTACCTCGCCTGTCATTTCGAATGATTAATTATAAGCCTACTTTCGGCGTTCCTTTCGATATTTCCATAATAAAGAGTTTTCCTATTTTCATTTCCCCTTTTCTTACCATGATAACTATGGCAAAAGTTTTTCGTTTGCCCTTTTGTTTCCCAGCTACTATCTGCTACCGACAATTCAATAAACATATTGTGCCCTAATACTCCTCGCGACCCACAAATATGCAAGGGAGTCCGGGGGCAACACAGACAGACGGCATTGTGCCGGGTGTGTCCCAAGTCAATGCCAATTTCCCTTTTATGCACAACTTAACAGAGCTTATTGCTTTTCACTCTTCATTGCGCATAAAAACCCACCATCCGCCATACGCATGATATGTAGGTTTGTTTGGGGCCGGCCTGAGGCAAAGCCCCAATCCAGATCCAAGTCCATATCAGCACGAGTTAACCTCTCTTTCATGCGCTTTTTTCTGTGCCCTTCTGTGCAGCCAGTCTGGGGAAGGGGCGGGCTCACGACTATGACTCAAGTCTCATTAGAGACCTCAGGCCACAGCCCGAAATGCAGGTAATCTGCATACAAAGCGCCGCCTCAGCAGAGGACTGCATATTCTCACCGTGCACGTATCCTCTCTCCCAGACGGTGATATGGCCATAATGGAGAGGAATAGAACGGAAATGGACGGAAAGGTATGGCAGCGTTTAAGGAGCGCAGCAACGGGCACGAAATTATGCATATGTGTGCGGTGGGTACAGCCCCGCCAGGGCTCTGTTCGGCAGGCACCACCACGAAAAAGAAAAAATACTGCAAACGGAAATAATTCAAGTGCAATGCAAATCATGGCCCAACCACGCGCAGGCAGGTAATTGTGTGTGTTTGCCAAATGAGGAACGGGAAGCTCCTGGCCTTGGCTTTGGCATTGCCTGGCAGAGGGGATTTCACCGAAAAGAGCAAACATTTCCGAGCAGAAAAGAATTGTATGCTCAACGGGGGGGTTCCTTGTTTTGTTGGTTCGCCTCAACCGAGTCTTATTAAGTCACAAATTTTACGCATTTTGGTGCAGGATTCTTTAAACGAAGGCATGGGGAAAGTTCAGCTCCAGGGAAAATGCACAGCAATCATGTGTCAGCTGCGCACAGAAATATGCATATATTATACATAGTTTAGTGTTTAATATATATATTGTATATATTATATCGTATGTGTCTTATCTTAAAAGTCACGACATCGATAAACATTTTAGGCCAAGCGGCGTTTCTTTGTGTGGGCACACTGGTCGAGTGGCGAGCTTTCATCCCTGGTATTTGCAATTGTAAAGTTGAGTGCGCTTAGAGTTAATTTTGATTTAATAATCGTACAAATAATTCAATACAATGCCAGCGAATGCGTCGGATCAGGAGAAGGGCAAAAAGCCGACGGAAGAAAATGTAAGTAGAGTGAATTGCAAGCAGGAAAATATCACAAGTTCATATATTATATTCAATCAAAGTCCGCTAGAAACAATTTTAACTTCGCTGATGCTGCCAAAAGCAGCGCTAACATTCACAACGAACTGAATATCGCTCCTCAGCCTGTGGAGATGTCCGAGGGCACCAGAGCACGCGAACCGGACGAGCCTCTGGCGGAGAAACCGCTGCAGTCGACCTTCGTGGCCACGACCGAGCACCACGTGGAAGGAGAGGTGCTCTGTGTAAACGTATCGGAGAACACCAGTCTGCTGGCCGTGGGCAAGCCCGACTGCTTGGTCTACATATATGGGCTAAAGCTCCATGTGACCGGAGGGTACGCTGATTGGATCAGTGACGGTGATTTCCAACTCATCGGCCACAAAGTGCCGGTCACCCGCGGCGCCTTTTCGCCAGACCGACAGTCGATAGTAACCTGGTCGCCGGATCTGGTGCTGCGTCTGTGGAATCTGGAATCACGGAACTGTGTGGGCATCTACTCGAACACCCATAGCGATGTCACCCATATTTTGTTTGAGCCCGAAAGCTTCTTCTTTGCCACCATCGATGAACTGGGCTATGCATTCATTTGGATGAAGAACGACACGAACACGAACTCGAACAATAGGTTGCGTTACGTGGACAAAAATTACTACACGCATGCGTTGTCGGCCTGTGTGTTTCACCCGGAGAGAGCCTACCTGGCCACTGGCTCCATTAACGCCACGGTCCGCATGTGGAACATGTCCATGGGATCTTCAACGGTGCGCAACTTTTTGGGTCACAGCGAACCCATCACCGCCCTGGCCTTCTCAAGGTGCGCTGGCTACTTGGTCGCGGGTGCCTACGATGGTCTCCTCATTGTCTGGAACGTGATGGATCAGGGGATTTTACGCCGCATTTATCACCATACGGGAGGCATTACCTCGATTGCCTTCGCCCTGGATAGCAAGCGCTTCGCGGTGGGTAGCAATGACACCCGGATGAGCGTATGGGACTTTGAGCTCATGGTGCGGACCAAGGGTCAGGAGATTACCGCTGATGAGCTGCTAGTGGGCTCGCGATTCAGCGAGTGTGGAATCATCTACGAGGTTCGCTTCGTCAGTGACACTCACCTGATGGCCATCTGCGTGGACAAACCCGAGGAGAGTGAGGAAGTCGGTGAGGAGGAGGAAGAATCTTCTTTCAGCTTCGATGCCGATGAAGCTGAGGAGTCAGGGTCAGAAGAATTTTAGGAGAAATAGATTGATTTTCGAGCTCACGAGAATTTATTAGCAGATGAACAAGAAAATTGTTTGATATTTTTTTTTTATTACTTTGGTTTAATTTTGAAATAATGAATCTTCTAGTCAGAACGAACATTTTATATATTTCCGATGGATTTTCGATGGTTCTGATCAGCATATTAGTTATGGGACATAGAATTCAAAAGCTTGTAACTCTGAGACAACCACAAGAAAGTCTTCAATTAATTATGTTGCATCAAAATCACTCGTGTTTATATACTCCTAATTAAAAATCAGTTGAGTACATTAATAAAGCGTTTTATAATCCGCTTAATTCTTCACAATTTATAGCCACTTCTACAGCTTTCCAAAACTAAACCGCACCACAATCATAAATTATTAAGCAAAAAATATTATTTTGCCTGCTTCGCTTCATTGGTCTCGTAATAAATGGCGTAAAAAATCGAGGATGCGGCACTCAAATACTGAAACATTTATATGCAGTGGTTGGCTTTTGGGTGAGACAGAACCCCACCCCACCTTATCGGGACGCTGCAGCAGCTCGCAAACTTTGTTCAATTCAATTCCTTAAGAGTTCACCAGCGGAGAAACAAGATGGAGTACAGAAAAAGTGAGGAGTAGAGCCAGCATTTATTTGAAAAATAAATAAATGGACAGACACGGAGAGATAGTGAAATTTAAACAAACCGACAGGCGGACAAACAAACTTTTCTGGGTGCATAAAAATGGTGCTAAAAGAAAATCGAAAATGCGTCACATTCGCCCAGTGAGAACATCTATCAAACGCTGCGTTTATACTCTACCCATAGAGTGAAATGAAATGAAATGTGGAATCAAATGAGATAACACACAGCTGTAAAGACCATGAAAAATGCTGGTTAAATATATAGAAATGTAGTGAAAATCTTATTACCATGTGGCTGCTGTTCAGTGTCTGCCATTTGAATCTTTGGATGCGACACCCAATGCACGGGTCAGTAGCAGGTCCTTTTGTTAAGTGGATTTGAATGGCAGCTTTTTGGACGCTTGGTGATTTGCCAAAAGATTTTACGTGATCATATAACTGAGCTCCTGGGCATTCCATTTGATTTATTTGAAAGGAAAAAAGGTGCTTGGACTTTTGTCAGTGGATAACAAAAACACCAGGGAGCAAAGAAATTTACTTAAATCATTTTCAGAATTTTCTTTGTGAAGTTTCACATTTTATTTTATTTCATTTAATTTTCTTTCTGTTCTCATCATTTACAATAAAATTAACATAAATTTGCGATTTTCCAAGCAGCTTAGACGCGTCTCCAACAATAAGAGTCAAATAGAATCAAATACAAGAGGGAAAAGAAGGAAAAAAAAAACTGGAATTCGCGTCTCCAAATATGCTAAAGTTGACAGCTTAAGGCTTGTCGAGTCTCGCCGGAGTCTGAAAAAAGAATCAAAATTAAAGTTGTTTAGAGTTATGACCCGAGCAGGCAATGACCTTAAATGCCTTTACATTGACTGTGATATTAACACAATTCTAATTAAAGAAACAGTACAAAGAAACATACAATTTGAAAGCCTTTCGGCGACAATTGAAATTCAATTTGTCAAGGCCTAAAAGCAAGCTCAACATAAGTCCCTCAAGCTGATTTTCAACGAATGCAAATTCAATTTGAGTCATTTGAAGCTGATTTCTTACAGAAAGTGACAAATACTCGTATCTCGTGTAGGTTTAAGTGTGTGGAAAATGGATAGTTAGATTTAATGCTTAGACTTAATGCTCATAGCTCCCAACTTTAAGGGATACGTTCTATAAATTCTACCATCTACGCCGCAAAGAAGCTTGAAAACTTTTCATAACGAAAGGAAAATAATTTCAAGTGTCTGCTGGAAACAAAATTACCAAATTTGTTTTACCAACAAACAAGCGAAAAACGTGAGAATTTCGAATCTCTCTGTAGTGCACACAGTATGGGTGCACATCTACATATATACATATTTATATGCATATGTACGTACATATGTACCAACAATGTAGCGGCAGTTTGCTGCTCGGAAAATCCCCCAACGTACCATAATCTTCATGTCTGTTTGCAACTGTTCGCGCTGACAGCTGGGAGGAATACGGGTCCGTGTCCACACACACAGTGTGGGAACGGGCATTGTTGGATGCCCGTCTCTCGCAGTTCCTTTGCAGTGTGAAAATTGCAGAAGATTGCATATGAGGGTTCTGGAAATATTTTTATTATTATTTTTTGTAGCTGTCATTTGGGTGTGTTTCTGGTTTTCTGTTTTTTGGGGTTACACAAATGATTGTTTGCGGAGTGCTGCTGAGTGGCCAGTTGTGGCATCGCCTGTGCTTGGCAGTGGCTAATAAATCAAATCAAAATGATATCAAATTTTAGGTAAACACTTGAGCTGACCCGAGGGCACCACACATTAAATGCTCTCGTTACAGAGGACTTCAATATTACCTTGATTTGAATTGACTAACACGAGGTTAATGCTAGCCCTACGATACGTTCAAATGTTATTGCCCTATTGCTGTCCAATCCGCAAAAAAATATCTGCAGTGAAATATTCTGCCCATTCTATTCTTAAAAATTCCCATCTCGAAATGTATTCCCCGATAAATGTTTCGCATTCAGCAGAATCTATCCCTAATGCCTTCCACCCTCAAAACTTGACTGGGATCACGGAACACAACTTTCAATTTACCAATAGCCGTTCAATCATCGACGCTAATCAAGTGTTCGGAAGAGCGAGCGCCAAATGAAATTCGTATACGACAGAGTGGCAGGCCCTGGTGCCTAGCTCTGACCCTGCTCCTCCTCGTTGATGCATAAAGTCCCATAAATCACTTGAAAATTACGGTGCTGCAAGCCACCCAAATGGGTGAAGAAGAGAAGAGGGAGACCGAAATCATCCAGGCCACAGCCATTCGACAGTGCCCCATAATAAGCATGGGGGGCTATGACTGTGAATGTGAATGCACAATTATGGCCGCTTCGATGGTCGTAAAACAAGGAAGCAGCAGCCAACATTTGTACCCGCTAGCCCCGCTGATGACTTAGCCGCGGCTGCCTCGAGTTGCAGGAGGCAGGGACATCAATAAAATAAACACTGTCAGCGGGAGAAGGGGAATAGGAGGCAGCCATAGGACCAGCATCAGCATCAGTGCCTGAGGATGGTATGCGAACGAGTGCTACGAGGAGGAGGCGTCTGCACAATTGAACACGCGACATTTGTCCAATGTTTGTTGTCTCATTGACACAACAATTTTTGTGTGCCTCCGCTGGAGGCACTTCTTTTGTGGGGGCGTGTCATGGCTTGGGTTTGCTAGTGCGGCTCTCGGTTCGCAATCATTCAAAAAGTCACTCCTGAGGGAGTTCTGTGTATTCCATGCCTTGCAGTGCAAAGAAAAACAAAAGAAATTCGATTTGCGCGTTCGATAACAGTTTCAGTGCAGCCCTGTTTTGTACTAGCAAATGTGAGCTTGCATCCCTCGTTTTTTTTGTGTATTTTCCAGTTGCAGAACGGAACACGTGTCAAATTTCATAATTATAAAAGTATTTCACTGCAATGCCAATAGAAAATAGGAACAATTCGAGCACTGAGACGATGGACTCAAAGACGACGCTAGAAAATGTAAGTTAAGCGAAAAACAGCCAAAAAAATACCTCAAATTCTAATTTTGTGTGAGACTTTTCTATCCAAGCCGATTAAATCGACCTTCGTGGCCATACGCGCACACCATGTCGAGGGGGTGGCACTGTGTGCAAGAGTCACGGAGGAAATCAGCCTGATGGCCGTGGCCAAGGCCAACTTCTCGATCCACATCTTTGGGCTAAGACTCCATGAGATCGGTGAAGACGCGTACTGGACCAGCGGCGAGACAATCACGCTGCAAGGTCACAATAGCACAGTCTACATTGGATCCTTTTCATCCGACGGCTATCACCTAATAACGTGCTCGGACGATTTTGACATGCGCATGTGGAACATACAATCCAAGAGCTGTGTGGGCTTCTGTCCGCGAACCAACAGCTACATTCGCGACATCGCGTTTGACTCAAATCACACTCCATTTGCCACTGTCGAGGACGTTGGCTACGCATCCATATGGGAGGCGGACGGCCGGAATATATATTACCTGAAAAGAGTTTACCAGGAGTCGCCATTGACGGTCTGCATATTTCATCCTTCCAAAAAATACATCGTCTCTGGCTCGGCCTCGTGCGTGGTCCGTATGTGGGATCACGCTTCAGACGACTTTGCCATCAACATCGATTTGGGTCACAAGAGTGCGATCACTGCCCTGGCCTTTTCCTTGCTCGGTAAATACCTGGTCGCAGGTGCTGAAGACGGTATTATCCTTGTCTGGGACGTACAGCGCAAGGTGTTGATGCGCCGCCTCAGCCAACACAAGGCAGCCATTACCTCGATTGACTTCTCGTTGGACAACACTAGGTTCGCCGTGGGGAGCCAGGACACCCAGATGAGTGTCTGGGACTCTATAAAGCTCGTACTGGCCAGCGAGAGGTGGATGTCTCACAATATTAGCGATAAGGATCTACTGATGGACTCGCGCAGTAGCGAGTGTGGAAACGTGCTGAAAGTTCGCTTCGTCAGCGACCGTCACCTGATGGGCATCTGCGTGGAAACATCAGGGGACGACAAGTAGTTGCCCTAGATGCCAGAGCCAGTATATGTAGCTGAACATTTTTGGAAATTTTTATTTAAATTAGTTTCGTTTTATTTGAACAGAGAACTGAGAATTGTAACCAAAAACCAAACGATGATTAAATTGTAATTGTAATCAGCTATAAAGTAGCTGTACATATCTCCTGCATAGGCCGCCACTGCATTAGTCCCCCCACCCAGCTGAGCGCAGCATGCTAATTGGCCAACACCTGCACTGGCCATGGCCGAAACCTCATCGCCAACAAAGTTTCCTTTTTATAATCAACGCGAACGCTTCATTAGCTGTGAGTCCAGACCCCACGTGTGTACTCGAGAAGTGCGTGCGGTTTTTAATTAGTTTTGATTTGGATATCCCGCCACCAATCAGGCCAATAAGCATCAGACTCGCAAACGCCGTGTGCATGGCAATGAGCCGCGAATCGGCCACTTGACCAACAATTTGATTGCGGTCCGTTTGGGCATTTGACAGCATTTCCCTGTTTATTTGCAGAGGCAATCATTGCAGCATACCCACTCTTCGCCAACACGAATAGTTTCTTTTTAATTGAAATTATTAAAACAAACACAAAAGTTTGCTGCGCGAGTGGCGGAGTGGCGAGTCTTTTAATTAAACTTAAACCGCGAAAGCTATTTGCCTGGCGACCCAAGAAGCCCCCAAACTATGCAGCTCTGGATTACCTTCAATGGGAATGGGAGTCCAATAGCTTTCCCCTCGTCAAACAAAGGCATTCCTTTAGATGTTTGTCGGCATTTCCACACATCAAGATTGGACAATAAATAATAATGGCCACCCCACTGAGCGCTGAGCATTGAGCGGCCACTGAAGCATGAGGCAAACAATTTTTAATAAATATATTATTTTTGTTTGCCTTCCATCCGACATTTATTTGGCAATTTTCTAATGGTCGCATGGCCTCGTGGTCCGGTTCCAACTTTGCCCGCTCTGGGCATAGTTTTATTCTCTGTTTTTTTTTTTGGCAGTCTCAAAGGGAAAAGCTGAGGTTCGGCCTGTTGTCTGCGCGCGGCCTTGACCTGGATACACTCTGTTTTCGTATGAACCCTTTCCATAAATAGCCCCTGATTAGTGGCCTTGGTACGAGCGCTTTAATGGGATTTAAAAGATGCATGGCGGAACAGGAAAAAGTCTTTGCAGAGTGCCAAGTCGTGTCCTGGTTGTCAGCGGGGGAAACTTCTCTGATTCCTTCGAAAGATTTCCCAACATTTTCACACTCTGAAGCTCTTGTCCTTAATTCTGTTCTGGTGAGGAGGAAATTCGCATGTTGTGGTAATTAATATGCGAGTCTGCAGAATATTTATATGCTCGTACACGCAACTCCGAGCCACTCCGCCAGTCAGTCAGAGTCAGTCAGCCAATCCTTTGGGTCATTCGCTGGATTCCAGTCCAGAAGCTGTAGGAAAACAGAAACAATTACTTCGTTTCTGCAGCACCCAGGAGTTGGGATGTATGTATGTATGTATGTATGTGAGTGGTAATTATAAGTTGTTCGTGTCTGTTAATTAAATGTGTCCAGCGAAGGCATTTAATAAGCTTCAGTCATTTACAAAGGCGCAACATGGCATATACGCAGCAACGGAGTCGTCCAGATGAGTGTAAATGAAGGCCCGGAATAAGCCCATTCATCCGCATACAGCAGCAGCGATTGTATATATCTGGATGTATTCTTTTTAAAGGTTAATAAAATATATAAACGCACACAAGAAGCGCGTGGATGAATTCGTTCCTTTCCTTTGACACGATACGTTTTTCCACGGATCGATCTGAAGGAAATCCATCAATGGAATTGTTAGTTTTGCTCTTGAGAAACTTTCTTTGTCGTATAATGAAAGTGGCTTGAATATTCCGTGAGTTCATCGGTGGAAAAAGTATCGTTGAGCATCGCCTTTAATTATGTTTACTTTTCTTTTGCAGTGGGCAGGGGTTTAATAAATGCCTCATATTGTTAACACTTCCTGTGGGGTAGCGCCCCCTCCTCTTCTGGCTATTATTGAAGTGTGAAATCTCTCGCCCGATAATAAAATGCAATGTGAAAGGCCGTCTTCAGCTTGATCGGCCAGCAAACAAACATTAATTAGGCATTAAACCAAAGCTGATAATTAATCATCTCAAAATTGTCCATGAAAGCAAAGTGTTTCAGTGTGGCCCAAAGCGTCAGACACCTGAAAGGATACACAACCAGCAGGGATACAGCCACCCAACCAGACACGCGGTTTTGCGGCTTCCCCCGTCAGAGGTGAGGGTAGAACGTGCCGCAAGGAAACTCGCATGGCAAGTGGCTAAAAACTAAACAAAAAGCTTTAATGGCAGTCGTTTGCTAGACATCCCTATTTACACTTGCTGCCACAACCCCCCTACCCAACCGCGCCAGAGGGGTATGTTCCTAAAGTTCTGTTTAGCGTGGGATATGTACAGAGCATCTGGAAGCGAGTAGGAGTATTCCCCAAATAACCCTCGCTCATTATGCAGCTGTTGCACTGTAAATATTTGCATACATGTTGCAAAATTAGTTAAATAAGCATTTATTGTTGTCCTACACAAAGTCGGTTGCTGCTGTTGTCGCAAAGCATTTGAATTACTTTTAATGTTTGCCTCCGCGAGCGCCACTATTAACACCAAAGGTAATTTTCCCAGCAAATTGACATAAAAGACAACAGCGAGGTAAAAGTTTTCTAGCCAAAAACTTGTGTTGTTTAATTTTTTTTGGGGTGGTGCGACACACACACCGTGAGACCCACCCATTTCCAGAGACAACATCAAAATTTATGTAAATGAAAATTGCATTGCATAAGCTACATTCACGGCTCCCGGCACCCGGCTCCAGCAGACTCCCCTCTCCATACCGCCATGGTACGTATACGCAATGTGCAGCAGCAGCAGCAGGCAGCAGGGGCGGCAGCCTAAAACCATTTTGCACGTAGTATTAGCGCGCTACTTCCATTATTTGTGCCATCCTTTAGGATCCGAACACACCTACACACCCAAAGAGGACTCCAGCATCGAGCCATTAAGGCCATATTGCCGCTAGGTAGGTCTATGGCTTGGCAGCTACCCGGTTTTCGTGCTACTTTTCCTTTAGTTTTCCGCATTTTCTTTATTGGTTTCTTGCGCTTCGCTGCCAAAGTTTCAACAAGTTTTTGGGCCTCGAATGGCTTCGGTTCATGTATGAGAGTGTGGTGGATGCTGGAAGGGTTTCTGGCAGTGACAAAATAATTTCTGAGCAGCCGTCAACTTTAATAGTCACTAAATGGTGAGGGACCAGCATGGTAGGCGCCTGAACTTTGGATATGCCGAGGTGGAAAATCACTTTATGTTACATTCTCTGGGAATTGTTTTCCTTTGTTTTAGCTAACACATTTTATTCTATTCATATGAATTTCTGAAGCATATTGTATGTAGGTGCTAAATATTGAAATATATGACGATATATATATTACACAGAGGTTTCCACAGATATCTGTAATAAATGTACACATCTCTGTAGTTGCTTTCATCAGACAATCGTTTAACAAACGATTTGTAATTGAAGTCTCTTTGCAGCTAATTAAAGCTGCACGTAAACGCGAGGAATTCGGGCAATGCCACAAATATGCTCTGCCAATTATCGAAGCCATGAGAGCAACCACTTAATAACCACACCACATCAGCATGGTGCACTCCGCGATATTCCCTGTTCCCATTTGCAGATCGTTGACAACTGCCCATGGCCGCCGGATAGTATCAAATGAAGTGAATTGCTTCATTTTCGAATTTCTGTCATACTCGACGTGCCTTGTACATCTCTCTCTCTCTCTGTCGCTCTGTCTCTTCCCCTTTTTTTATTTGTCGTCTGACCATGTGTCCGCTTCCTCTTTTGCTCTTCATATATGTTTTGGAAATCTATTCGTGCCACGAATTTCATTTTTAGCTTGGCAGCAGCAGCATTGGGTTTGTTGTTGCCGAACAGAGACGTGCAACGGCTGCCAGGCAACTTATTAAAAATGTCTGCAGTGGCAGCAAAAAGGAGCTCGAAAAAAAAACACCAGATTGCAAGCAAAAAGAAAATTATTTGCCGCAAAGTAGCCCGAAGAAAAGCGGCAGCAACTGGGATGAGTGTGCACTGTCGTGCCATGTAATTGTCGGGTAGAGAGTGCCTAAGTAAAAGTGCTTTGATTTCCGACATTAAATTAACTGCACGCCTCTTTAATTGTCTCTGGGAGACACAGACATATACGCACACACATCCTTTCCCACTCTCCATTCCAGTCCAGTCCATCCTGCATTTACTCAGAAAAGTGAGAATTGCATTCGGCATGAGCTTTGCCAAATTGAATCTTATGTAATGCCATATAAATCGAGTCAGGGCAGAGTCACCTTCATATGAAATTCACTTAACACTGCAGCAGTGGCAATGAAAGAATTGCAATCGAAATTACTTTCAGCCCCATACGCCCCCCCATAGCTATGGGATGGGAAATTCGATTTACATTCAAGCATTCCGTTTGAGGGTGGATGGATGAATGATATCGATGGTGCATTGAAGGAGGAGGCTCTCGAGTATCTCTGTAGGGGCTCCTACTCTGAAGCCCTCTCCACCCCTTCCTCGGGCATCAATTATGCTACGTATTTCTTTATTACAATTATCTCGTTGTGCTCTTGGGCCTCGTTCGCATTGTTTCAGCCCATGACTCGCCCATCATGTGTGTGTGTGTGTGTGGGGGGGGGGCACTCACTCCTCACTCCACACTCCTCACTCCTCTCTCTGTTTCTCTGTTGATGAGGAAGTGATACGGCAGCCCGCAGTTGGAAGTCCGCAATGCGAGGGAAATTGGTTTTAATTTTGCAACTTGACGGGCCACTTGTCGTGCCATTGACTCATCGCAGAACCCAAAGCTAAGAATACAGCACCAAAGAACCAGCCAACAGGCACCCCGGACTGGACTGGACTCAATGTCAGGGACACTCGAGTGGGACTCGTCTGGTCCACAGATCAGGTGTGCCTGATTTAATGAATGAAGATTATAAGCCATGCGTTGGCTCAGATTTATGCACCCTGATATTCAAACAGGTTATTTATTGACTTAAGCCCCGGCTCGGGCCTTAGCCTTAGCTCTATTTGCTTTCCAGTGAAGCAAAGCAAAGCAAAGGTGCTCCGTAATTAATGCATCAAATGCAGAAGAGCCAGTTTCGTATGGGATAGAGATCTCTTGTTTCTAAGAAGACTCTGAGAGCACTCCATTATTATTGAGAAATGGTTAAAGTTTCTAGCTGCAGTTCAGGGAAAATCAATCGGCTCTTTCTGAATCTTTCAATTAAATGAAAACGAAATTAACGCCGCTTGCTAAAAAAGTCTAGAATTTAATTTAAATTGAATTTCCATAATTATAGAAACCATAAAAACAGGCATATAGCAACACAATGGATTCTAAATCTGTAACTTCCTTCATTTATCAAAATCTTAGCTAAAAGTGCGGTAGAGGGTAAACCCCATGTCCAATTAAAATCCATTGGCTCTCCCTACATACCCTCAAAATAAAACAGCAGGGTCCAGGGTCCAGCACACCCCGCTGCTACTGCTTACAGGGTATTAACAATGGTTCCACATGATGCAGAGATAGAACACATATGCGACGTCACACTTGAGCAGTTTAAGCAGAGTTTGCAGAGGGAGCAGACACCACAACGAAAGACAGACAGAAGAAGAGATCTCAACAAGAGACGAGCGACGAACAGGTGTTCCAACTTATTCATTAAAAACAAAAAGGAAACAGACAGGAACCGAGACGAGATGGGCCAACACCCCTTACCAGTCCCAGTGACAGTGCCAGTGCCAGTACCAGTCCCTATTCCCATTCAAGTCACTGCCGGTTGGAAGTTCCCGCTGCTTAAGATTGTGGTCGACACGCAATTGCGGCAATTTCAAGTTGGATGCGCTCTCTCTCTCTCTCCTTTTCTGTCTCTCCCCACTTTGGGCCAACGAAGCGAAGTGGCAAAAGGCAATGCCAAAGCGAAGGGGACGGCCAAAACGCTTAGATGCTGCGCTCTTGTCTTTCACACACATCCGCCGCAGTCCATCCTGGCAAGTTTCTTGAGGCTGAGGCTGAGGCAACGACAACTACCAACTTCCAGCTGGAACTTCAACTGGCTGAAACCGAAGCCGGTTTCGGGGTGTGTTAACTTTCTATGCCCGGTAGCGCTGATTGCCAAGACAACGACAGCCCAATTCATTCAGCGGTCTGGTGCCTTTCAACGGCAGCAGCTGCCTTAAAGTTCTATAGTTTGGCCGGGGTCCTCAGCCTCAGCGCATCATTCCCTCATCCTCTCAGCGCTCTGAATGTTCGTTCTAAATGCTCTTGCCAAGAAAAGATGTTTTGCATGGGCTGTTGGACGCTATCTCTGGAGGCGTTTCCAGTTCGATTTATCATGGACAAAGTTATGATCGCTTAAGTGCCGCCGTTTAGTGTTCCTGTTTTAGCATCTCCCATTGCTCATCATAAATTGTTAGCATGACAACTCTAATTATGGGGGTAGGGGTTTCGAAATGAAGGGGTTCGCTTTGATTGTCGCTACTTATTTCGCGATAAATCGCATTTGCTTAAGGAGACTCTACCTTAGGGCTAGGCAAGATAATCTGGGACTTAATTTGAAATTTATTACAAGCTTTAAAGTTGCATATTTATGGAATAGTCATTAACAGCTAGCAAAAGAAACGGAACTGCAGCTATCATAGCAATCCAATCATAAAAATTCTGCACACATTCCTGCCCATCAATAAAATGCCACCAAAAATATACCACTAATTGTTCTTCTCTTCACACTTTTAGCAACCACAAAAATGATCATGGGATAAGCATAATTGGTGTTCCATAATTGTTTGCAAATCAGCATTATTTGTTGAACAAACCTATTTACGATTACAATGCCCCCCCACCACAACAAAATCAGTTTTGATTATGCCAAACACATAAACCAGAAATAAAACCACAAAATTATGTAGACAAATATACAGTACTCGTACGAGTACTCGTATGAAGAGATCGTTTCTATGCCATGGCTGTGACGGAAGTTGGGGGCCCCCCCACCGACCAGCGACTCCCACAAAAACCTCTTTCAAAAAGAGGCCATAAATATTGTTCATTTGTAAATAAATGGCCAACGAAAAAAAGAGTGTGTGTGGGGGTGGGCAAAAAAAAGAGTGGAGAAAAAACAACAACTCATAGAGCATATAAAACATTGTTCATGTTCATTTCCAGTACTTGGTTTTCCATTTCCTATAGGCAAACATCAAGTGGTGCCACAGTGCTGTCCATATGGCTATGTCTGTGTCTATGTCGCTGTTCTGCGGTTGGCTCTGGCTGCGTGCCTTCTCTTTTATTACAGTATCATCTTCCGGTCACTTTGTCATTTCTCCACAACATTTCTCAAACAGTTACGACTGGGACAAGTGTGGCCTCAGCGCGTGTCCAGACCCTCAGACCAGGAACAGCTCGAACTTGAATTATTAAAAAATAGAAACGAAGTCCAAGAAGAAATAAATACTGGCCGGGGCACTAAGCGGAAGTTGAATAGACAAAGTCGATTCGTTATAAGCTCGATAGACGAAGTCGCAGTTCTGTTGCCTTCTGGGACCATACACTGAAAGCAATGGGGAGTGGGTTAGACTCAGAGTTACTTGTGGTTCAAACGGATTATATAGTCAGTGATTAAGGATTACGCTTCTTACATGATTTTTATTATTTTTAATGGCAACTCCTCACAGTACCGCTTGGGGAATTTGGAGATTCTCCACTGTTCTATGAATTCTAGACTTTAAGAGAAATCTTAAATCAAGAGCTTCTCTTTCTCAAAGATTCCCCAGAACAATTTCTCTCACTGGGCTCAGTCACATATTCAAATCGTTGCAAAGAGCTGGTCACAAATTTGCATCGTCAGCAGCACACTGCAGCAGCAGCACACTGCAGCTTAAATGGTTACTCCTCTCGGGTAACCCGCACCATACACCCTGACCAGCGTTGACCATCACCGTCGACGCCACTTAAAAGCAGTTCGCGCGAGTGCCACGGCCTGAAGCACAGCACAGAACCAGAGCCAGAACAACAGACCAGACCCTCCTCCATGCCCACCTTCATAGTGCGCGATGGGGCACACACGCACTCGTCGCAACGCGCTGCACTTTGAATATAAATTACACAAATAGTGCACACGACTTTGATGGCTCGCAGCGGGGGGACATTGAAGAGACGTTGCACAGTGGTGCCCAGATCTAAGATGATACAAAATGAGGGATAATTATTCATAATATGAGCCACAGTCACAAGCACAGACCTGTAAACACATTAGCTGGCTACGAACCAAAATTGCGTGTTGATTTTCAGCAAATCTTCACGTCACAAGCTCCACTGTGCTGCTGGCAGAACCGCTGCCGTGTCCACGTTACGTTACCCTTTGAAGCTAATGACACTGCCATCGCCTTAGTCTCGGAGATCGACATCGATGATGAGCGCCCAAAGCGTTTTGAACTCTGCGGCCAATCAAAAATCATGAGTGACACACGCGTTTATATGTGTGTGTATGTGGAAGGGGCATGGGTCGTGTTCTAGTGTTTGGATTGGAGTGGGTTCGCGCTTGGATTGAAGGCGTTGCCTTGCCGGCTAACCGGGCAGATGGACAAGTTATTTCCGCAACGCTTTCTGGAGCTGAGTTCTGCCGCCGACGCCGCCGCCGCTGCTGATTGATTGATTAATTGACAAAGGCAGTGCCGTTAGTTTGCACTGCACATTTGCATAACCAATTTATGAACGGGGCCCGATCCGATGCATCCATGTGCCATGGAAATAGAAATGTCTTGCTTGTCTGGCGCGTATGTAGTTCATTGTGTTAGTTATGCAAATGTTGCATTTCCGCCTCAATCGTCTGCCCTAATGCGGTTTAATTATTCATTAATTTAAGCTTCAATGTTCCAAACCATTTTTGGCCCACTTTCAGCAACGCAACGCAACGGCTGCCCTGCCCTGCCCTGCCCGGCCCAGCACGATTGAATTTCCTGCAGGGGCTTTGTTCATCTGCAGGCTTTTGTCACCACAAATATGAAGTGTTGCCCGATTATGAAATAATTATGGGCATTGTCCACATTGTCGCGCCGAAGGGAGCTTTGTTTTGTGTGGGGTCAATGCAATGCACGGCAATGTCTGCTCTTCGATAATTAAAAGCCGACTTTGTCCATAACAGGAATTTAGCCGGGCTCTGTTTGTTTGTTCTACGATAAATGTGTGTACATAGGTCGGGCATCTAGTTGGCCTGTTCTATTGTGTGTTCTAAGCTCCCCAGAAATGGGAACGCATTCTATGTATTTCCCAAAACACCTTGGCCTCTATGTAAATTTTCAAAATCTGTAAAATATAACCCACCTGCTGCCGTAATCCTGTTTGGAGTATCTCAGGCGGAGCTGCAACATGCCTTGCATATTTAATCCCGGCTACATCGGACCCAATCCGCCCTGCTGTGACCCCGATTGTGTTGTGGAGGGGCAATGCAATAATTGGGAGTGCGGTCCGTGCGATCCGCCATGCGGCTGTTCACCAGGCCCGCAACCAGCGCCAGCGCCGCCGTCGACACAGCCGCAGCAAAGCCAGAAAAAGTGTTGATACTCCAGAAACATGGAGGGGAGCTTGTAGCAATAGATAAACCAATCCAATCCGACAAAATATAACAAGAATTAAAGTTTCACAAATGAAATAGATCGGTACATACACAAATATATTTTCTTTTGCGTATTTTTTTGGCGACTTGGCATTACTTGACTTGATTTGTGGATATATATTGCAACAGCGATTAGCATATCGATACAAACTTATCAGGTCAGTGTTGCCAAATTAAATAAATACTTTATTTGTATTTTATTGTGGAGTGAAGTGGACTGGGCTGGACCGTATTTACCAATTAACAATTCGAGCGGCAGAATTTCTTTATATAATTCTTAATATTCTTCTTCATATCATATGACAGTAGACTTTGCTAACTGGCTAGCTGCAAAAATAGAGACAGCCGTATGGGAAAAGCCTGCAGTGAGAGCGAGAGAAATATATGCGTTAGCTTCAGCTGGATGAAGCGCTTATTTGTCGATTAACGAAACATTATCGACACTGATTTCGGTGTGCAGTATTTAGGTCAAAGATGCGAGCTTGCAGCCCTGGCATATTTAGTTGTGAAATTAAAGAACCAACCACGTGGAAAATCGTCTCAAACTAATAGAAACTAACAAATTGCATCGATATAAATATGAGTACTGAAAGCAAAAATAATGAACCAAATTATTATGATGTAAGTGTGATCAAAGTTAACCGAAAGTTTCCTTGTTTGAAATCAATTTTGTCAATTCAGCGACTAGTACTGTACTATGAACTAGAATATGAAGACAAATATGTCATTAAGGATTTCATTTCAATGTGTGCTCGATCTGGTAATGGAATTCACACATCGGCGAATAAGAATAAACCAGGAACCTTGGATGTGCACAGCGGCGAGGTGACCGAGCACACATCATCAGATGCAAAGAGTAGCGACTCCAACGGCTCGGAGAGTGACGACTCCTACGAGGAGGACAGTGACAGTGAAGACGACCCCAATGAAGTAAAGGTTCCGTACAAAGGGAGGACCAAACCATATAAGGACTTCTTCGAAGGCAATGCCTTGTACTTTCCCAAAAAGCTCGTTAAGCATCCAGTTTTCACGCCTTTTGATGTGTACCTGGACTACAAGCAGATCTTTGTGGAGATGCAGAAGATAGTTGAGGAGGCTCCCAACCATTTCAAATACGACATTTCCGCGGTGCTGTACCCAGTGCTGGTGTTGGGATATCTGAGAATGGTTATCGGCGGCAACTTCAAGATGGCCAAACAATTTTTGTTGGAGCACGAGGATTACTTGGAGGATATCTACGATCGGAGCATCGCTAAGCTCAAGCGTATACGCAGGCCAAAGCAGGTGTCAGGCAGAGCCCAAGAGCTTCTCTTTGGCGACGACTTGGTACTCATTGAGATGCCAAAGGCAGCATTGATGAAGCTATTGGAATACATGGCAAAATGGACGCTAGCCCATCAGGAGTTGTTCGTGGCCCACATTGTCATCGACGGCTTCGATAAGAACACCCCGAAACGGCTGCGTCTGCCACTGGGTCGTCCCCCCATAGAGGAAATCAGTTGGGCCAACTTGACGCACACAACCAACAGCAATCCGCAAGCGGAGCCGCGCAACAACAAAATGAGCTCCAGCTTTTTGAGCCCACCTCAGCTCCATCCAAAGGATGAAGTTATTTGTGCGTTCTTCTTGAAGGACGGATGCTGGTTGGGAATGGCATCTACAGATTACACCGTCCGGCTCGTCTCGGTGAAGCTGAACAAAACCGTGAAACTACTGAACGTTCTCGTCGGGCATTTGGGCAAAGTCTACACCGGCGACATATCCCCTGACAGGCGCTTCCTGATCAGCTGCTCGCTGGACGGCACCATGCGACTGTGGTGCTTGGTATTTGGTGCATGTATGGGGATCTATAATCAAATTAGCCCCGTCCGCAGCGTCGTATTTGCGCCAGTGGGCAACTACTTTGCCACTGCCTCGGTGGATGGCCTTGCACGCGTCTGGATAAACAACTGTGACGAGCCCATCTTGCTGATCTCCGGCCACCTGGCAGAGTTGGAGGTTTGCATCTTCCATCCGAATGGACGGTATCTGGCCACCGGCTCGGCTGACCTCACGGTCCGGATGTGGGACGTCGTCAGTAGGGGCGAACAGGTGCGCCTCTTCTACGGCCACTATCAGGCAGTCACCGCATTGGCCTTCTCGAGGAGCGGCCGCTACTTGGTCTCCGGCGGCCGCGACTCTATATTCGTCGTCTGGGACACAACCGATGAGAGGCCGATCCGGAGCCTGCTCAACCACAAGGCACCGATCAGCACGATAGACTTCGCCATGGACGACAGTCGCCTGGCGTTGGGCTGCCAGGGCACCTATCTGAGCATCTGGAACTTTGACAACATCCTCAAGTCGGAGAAGTCACGCGATACACCCATACTGATCCTCTCGCATCCAAACCGAGGTGGACCCATATTTAAAACTCGCTTCGTTAAATGCGGCGTCCTCATCTCCATCTGCAGTCAGCCGCCAAAAGAACACCAAAACAGTTTTGGACGAGCTCTCCAACCGAAAAAAAAGACAGGAAAAGGAACAAAACAAAAATCATAGAAAGGTAAGCTTTTATTTTACATTCAAACAAATTGAAATCAAGAGCCGTTTAAATTTACAGGCGACACATTTGGATACCTCTTTCCTCCCTTCCCTTTCACCTAAGTAATTGGTAAGTCTGAAGTTCTGTTTGGTGGCTAAACATTATTATATTAAGCTGACTTGCAGACCCTTGACGAGTGTTCAAAATGTGCAATTCCTGCTGCAACCCCAACGCGTTCAATCCGTTCTACATCGGACCCTTTCCCCAGTGCGCCTGCGGACCGTGCCCCTATGGCTGCTACTCGGGATTTACACCATGTGGATGGCGGCGCTGCTGCTGGTGAGAAGCCATCACCATCACCATCACATTTTGAGCACTCAACAAACGTCAAAGAGTGGGAAGAGAAGTTTATCTATCCAAATTTGTTTTCTGTCCCAATAAAATACACACAAATCAGGATCAAAATTTGTGCTCTTGCTTTGCTTGTCTCTCATTACTCTGGAAGACATTCGGCTATGGCTGCAGCCATAGATCTCCACGAGGCAATTAGCCATATTCTGCGGGAGGTACAACACGTAATGACTGTGGGCTCTCCAATACACCAGGGATCACATAGTGCTGCCCATACGGAATTGGGTGATTATTCTGCATCAGTCCTTTGTCATCAACCATCGGGAAGTGGAGCCTGGAGTTCTGGATATGGGTCTGGATCCTTTGGTGCTACCCATGCGAGGCGTCGTCACCATTATGAACGATTCCTACTCACAACTGGACGGGCAGTCGCTTAGCATCAATCATCGGGAAGTGGAGGAACTAATCGAAATGGATTCCCTTCTGCTGTCCATGCAAAGCGTTGGGAATATAATGGAAGACTCCCCTACGGAACTGCACATGCAGCAGGAGACAGTTATCGATCTGAATGTGGCCATACGAGTTACTCAGCGCATTTATCGGCTGGCCAGATCCGCATATGATATTATGTCGGTGCTTACCGGATAACAGAGTATCGTATGCTTTCGCCGTCACCGCTGGGGATTGGTGATTTGCTGCTCCACCATGGATATGATTCACTTGGGCATTGGTGTGGTGGGTACTCTGGCCCTGCTCTTGTTTGTTACCAACTCGGCCGCCACGGTCGCCATCTACTCGAGCGATCTTCTATCCGAGATGGTGGCATCCAGCGCCCCATTCATAGACCGCTTTACGCCCGTCGAAGGTGCGCCTGTGGTACTAGACTGTGAGAACATGGGTCCCACATGCTCCATTGTTCGTAGCGTTGGCAATGGTGTGTGCCATGTGGTGGAGATAATGGCTGACCTTGGCAATAGCTCGGCGGAGCCACAGCCCCCCAATCCCAATGCTAACAACGAATCTGAACGAACAGTAACGAGTCCAAGTGTGGAGACTGGCAAGAAAAAAAATACGTCATCGATCCTTCAAGAGAACCCCAACAACAGAGAAAAGAGAAGCACCAAGCAAGCGTCACATACTGGTGAAAATTTTAGGCTACAATAGTAGTCCTTTCTTTGGAACTGTCCAAATTTGTTCGTTTCCCCTGCCCGAATATCCATACCGGAGCTCATTCATTTTGTACAACTGTTTCGGTAAACATCTATTTTTTAAAAGTTCCGAAAAATGAAACAATAGAAAAAAATCCCTAAATTTTCAACCAAGGAAAAACTTCAACATATTTCTTCGGCACAAAAAAAAATAGACAAAGTGAGCCAAACAAAAAAAGTTTCTAAAATTCAAACTCAAAGATCAATTCTGTAAATTCCGTACAGCTGAAGCTTTGATCCACCTGCTGCAGTTGAAGGAAGCTTCTTTTGTCTTTGAGTTCGCGACATTTACTATCCATCATGGTTATGATCGTTTGCAAGTTCGACCCCTTCTATGTGGGACCCTGCCCACCGGGCTGTTGCGCAGGACCTTGTGGTCCTTGTGGGCCTTGCTGTGGACCATGCGGTGGCTGTGGGCCGTGCGGTGGCTGTGGGCCTTGCTGTGGTCCATGCGGCAGTTGCTGCAGCTCTTGTCCCTGTGGCTGGTGACGAGCTTGCTAGGATCATTGGTAAGTCAGTAAACTTAGAATTAATTGCATATATTTTAAGGGTTGTCTTTACTCTCCAGCACGCCCATGCTAGCCGGAAGATTACTGCCGAAGAAATATGTTGCTGTTCGAAAATATTAACCTTGGAAAGGTGCTACCATCTGACACCTTCAGTAACAGCTCAAACGTAATAAAATGAATCTTCAACAAAAATTGGCTTGGAGGTAGATGTGGTTGGGGTTCGCGGCTCTAACCTTCAGTCCTAGTCCGTGGAGGTTTGGCCGCTGCTGGGATGCTAGCACGGCGAAAGTAGGCACATGTTGTCGTAGGTAAGGACTGGCCTTAAACAGCTGTTCGATGGCCAGGCGACGCCGCAGTGCGCAGTCGCGCTTCCAACGCGAACCCGAAACGCTATCAAATCGGAACAAAATCCTAAACATAGAATGTAGAGCATTGTGTCAGGTCAAAGGTTTTGGGGCCCCTCCCCACCCAACTGCTTACTGCCGGCTTGCTGTTCCACCTGAATCTGATATGCCTGATGCTGAGTTTTGTTCGGCATGCTATGTTTTGTTTCGGCTTAGCGCGATTTATGGCGCCGTATAGGAGGTGTCCTTGTGTGCGTTATGCTTCCTTGAGGCGTTTTTTGGGGGGCGGGTCGGTCTGCTTATGCTTTGCTCCATGTGCGCGTGTGTTGGCCATTTCACTCTCATTTTTGGCAGTGTTTGCGTTGTTTTTCCCGCGGAATTTATTGCGGTAGGTCGGAATTTTCATTGCTTTCCCGGCCACCACCTCTCTTTTTGTTCCCTTATGATTCTGCCGACTGGGTGGCGTATCTGTGCCTGTGTGTGGCTTTGTTTCATGTTTTATGGGCAAAGTTGTGCGGCTTCTTATATTTGAGTTTTAGTTTTTAAGCAGAAACTTTTCCGGCTGCATTGTCATCCTCATAAGGTGGCTGCACTTGAGATAAGTTTTTCCTCTGGCCCAGCAACAGTTTCCCCTGCATTTTTGTGTCACTTTGGGAATTTTGGAGTCAAGGTGAGGCCCCATTTCTCATTCAACTCCCAAAACTCCAAACGTCCGGATCTGCCTAAATTTCAGTTTCTAAATTTTTTCCGTTCCGTGTAAACTTTGTAGGTTTTTCCATAAAATAATCCTCAAAATTTGTTAACTTTATTTATTTTATTTTTTTGTAGGTCCGTACGCAAAATGGGTTGCTTTTTCAATCCTGGATACGTTGGACCGTGTCCTCCCTGCTGGGGTACTTCTTGTGGGCCTTGCGGTGGCTGTGGTTCCTGTTGCTCTTGTGGCCCTTGCTGCGGACCCTGCGGCTCCTGTGGTCCTTGCTGCGGACCGTGTGGGCCCCTGCTTCCGCCATTCCTGCTGGTTAGATCACAGGACTTACTGCGCTAAGATGACAAAAATTTCAAACTTGTAACAATAGAACAATAGAAACCGGTCAGCTATAACCAAAGATCAGAGAGAGTCTTTCAATCTGAAAACATGGAATCCCCGAAGTTTCGTCTCGTGTCCGTACCCCGTGCAACATGTTGCAAGCTCTGCATGCAACCTGTTCGACAGCCACTGTTCTCGGCTTGGCGCTTCGTATTTAACAGCCAGCGCTCGACTCGAGGCGCCTTCAAAGTTCGTTTGTATCTCGGGTAGCGCGGTTCGTGAGGCAATCCGGTCGCGAGACTCTGTTGGCGTATCTGTTGGATGTTTGAGCGTGTTTTTGAAGATTGTGATCCGGCAGTTAGGCTTTGACAACTGAACGAAACTCAGCCACAAATCAGGGCCTAATCCTGCTCTGTATACTCGCTGTAATTAAATTCGTTGGAGTTAATTAGCTGATACAAAACTGGTCTATAATGAACCTGCCATTCTTCCGGCACGGCACTTAACTCAATTTTGTTTCTGCCGATCTATCGCCTAATGTGTGGATATTCAGCGTCCGTAAAGTTTGATTAGTGCCAAAAAAAAAATAATAAAGGAAAAACTGCTGAGCGAAAGCTCTTTGCAACAAAATCAACAAAAATTACGGTTCATTTGCTAAATAAACGGGACCAGTCAAATTTAGTCTTACTCAATTTTGCCGTGTGTGTGTGTGTGCCGTGGACCCCCCCGTGTGTCGGTGCGTGAAGCCTGTAACAAATCTCATTTATTGGCAGCCAGAAACTGATTTGAATATTCAGATCTCTATCCCCCCGCACACCTCAGACCAGACAACACCCCGACTATATACATATTATCTGTGTTTGTGTAATCTGTGTACCCCCATGATTTATATAGGCTCTGCAGCAGCCGTGATGTAAAGTGACAATTTTGATAATTTTCGATTTGCATGCCGCTGTGCATAAGGTAAGTGCGTTAGAAGACATCAAATTCGTTACACATTTTATAGATTGGTTTGTCTGAAATTGATTTGATAGATGGACAGAGTTGGACGTAGATTGGACTTATTTCAATCGGGAGCTGACGCTAAACTACTGAATATTATTTGAAATAGTTGGCGTTTGAGTGATAATGTTAGTTTTGGAATTTACATTTGGCGCTCGGATTTGTAGGACACGAAAAATGTATGCATTTCGTTTAAAACTTGAACGGGAAATAATTTTTTTTTTCAACAATGATTAAAATGTATTCGGAACATTAAAATGTATTAAATAATTTATTTAAGTTAATATGCGTTTTGATAAAATAGAAAAGTTTTAACAGAATTATCCATTTGGTCATTAACCATAACGCGGAACATTGCGTAAACAATAACAAGGTTAATCGATGGACTTCGGACTTATCAAAATTCGCTAAAAATAAGGGCAAATATTGAGTCCATTCGCACAATCGGAAGTCAAAGCTGTTAGGGGAAGTACAGATTTATGCATTCGTTAAAACAGTTATCAGTTTGTTGGTTTTATACGGCCCATGGATTCATTATGATTCATGATTTTTAAAGAATTATAAACTTGGAAAAACATAGAACTTTAAAGTACAGTTTCTACCAACTAGAAATTTCTCTCATAAATAAGGAAGTAAGATATAATTTACCCAAACAAGACATCCGTCTTTCGTTGCTAGTTTGGCTTTGTTTATTTTCCAATGGAGACAAAAACACGTTCATTCTCCCTATAACGCCCCGCCGCTTGGCTTGGTGATTCAGTTACACCTGCTCCTATAACTTGTCGATCGGAAACCGCAAAATTCGTATTAACTGCAACCACACAACGGGTGCGGAGCATTGGATCGCGAATACTTCCGCCCTTAGGGGGTTTCTGTTCATAGAACTTTTCGCCAGCGAAAGTGTATCACTTTCACAGAGTTAACCATACATTAATACGATCGTATAAATCAAGGAATAATTACAAGTTATTCTAATATCGATTTCAAGGCTAGAACATAAATTAGCGCCATCGAATAATGTTGCCATAAATATCGCGACATTAGGGAAATTTTATTGGCTTCGGACGGCCGAAGATGATATTAATGGGTGCCATAAATATTTAATCTTCAACAACAGGTTCTGTCGACATTAAAACGGAAAGTTCGGGGAAGTTTCCCAAAAGAAATAAAACATTCAATTCCGAAAATTAGTTGACGAAAAATATGGAAAACTTCGACCAGGTGCACCTGTGTCTGCGGAATTTTTAATAAAATCATCCATAGAAGTGGTAAACTTGACAAAGCCATTCGTCATGCTCAAATAACTTGGGTTCCATTTGGTGGGAGAGGGCCTCTGGGGTTCTTTTTTCTTCCCCTTTTCTTTCCTCATTTCAGTTTTTTATTTGTTTTTTGCTGGTCAGCCAGCCAACCAGTTTGGCAACATAATTACGCAGCCAGGCATGCAGCTGAGGACGACATCGGTGGCCGCCAAAAGGGTAAAAAGAACCCTTTCTTTCCTATATACGAGCATAATATATATGTACATATAAATTTGGGTCACTGGCGTTCAAAGCAAATTGTAATTAAAATATGAAATTTCAATGCAGGCATACAAAATTTCACTTTCCATCTTAATCATTATAATCGCATACAAAAAATTGCATTTATAATTGAACAAAGGGGAAACCTATTTCGGATTTAACCTTGACTCGAGCGCAGCTCTGGTAGTTCTTGCAAATTATCATCAGAATCCAAAGCAATACTAACCATCGTCATTATTCCCATCATAACCATCGTCATCTGCTCTTCTGTTTTGCATAATTTCATACATAAACTCTCGTTTTTGTGCGCATAATCCGCAGCTTTGATGACAACAAAATAGAAAAAAAAACATGAAAAAATGAGCGAAAAACCGAAATGGAAAGTGTGGCAAAAGGTGCCACACACACACTCAAAGGAGTGTGGGTGTTAAATGTTCGAAAAATGAAGCGTTGAAACTTTGGTCGCATTACGCATACGTCCTGCGGTGCGGAGACCGGAGAGGATTATGCCTCAGAGTTCCATATAGTTAATGACATGCAGCTGCTGTTCTACTTGCGGCTTCTGTCGCGACACCGACACCTCCAGAGTTTTAAGTCGCTCTCTCTCTGTCTCTCAGAGCGAATTTCCCCTAAGAAACTTATGAATTTTAAGGTGCTTTTCATGCTCAAGTCCATGAAAGTTTGGGGGAGGCAACCTGAAGGGCTCCGGCACATCGGGGACTTGTCAGCAAGGGTTGAGCTGATCATAAATCAAGCAAACAGTTGGCCTGGGGTCGCAATCAAAATCATTCTGTGGTCCTCAACATTTGTTCTACTGGTAATTAATCATCGAAAGTAATTGGTTTTGTGTTTTGATTTGACATTTGAAAAATTGCAGCTGCGACAATTCAGTCCCAATGGCTTTTATTTGCATCGCATCTCATTCGTCTCATTCCGCTTGTTTGCTTTTCCACAGCACAAAATGTTGCAATACAAATGGAAAATGATATTTTTTTACTGCCGACAAAGGAACAGAAAAAAAGTGAAATGGATTTCAATAAAAGCTGAAAAGAAACATCCGCATCGACCTATGCAAATGGATGAATGCAAATTAAATATAAACGAACGCATAAATGCGGCTTAAAAAACACGGCCGAACAATATTGGCGAACAAAAGGGATTAACTTGAAAAAGTATTTATATAAGCGCCCTAGAAGTTAATGTTTGTTTGCTGTTTGGCCATCGATTGACAATAAAATCCATGCTCTAACGGAGTTTTAATTTAATTCAACGGCGACCTTTGCTGGTTAAACAAATTCATTCACAAATCAACACATAATTTGCGTTAATATTTTTGGAATTAATATCTTTCATAGCTCTGTCACGGACACACTTTCATTAATTAATACTCATATAATTCAAAAAGCGGCAAATTATTAAACTTTCATATTTCAATTTATTTTTTCTGCCATTCGCAGCGCTTATTTAACTTTTCCTGGAAATGCCCAGACAGTCCAAATAAATTACCAAATTAAACTAAGACGCAAACAAAGTTGAAATCCATGTTGAAACGATGATGGCATTCTGGGGAATATTTTCTTCCCAAATGCAAATAATACCAAAATGAAATTTTTGACAATAAAAATTATTAAAAAAGCGTTAAAGTCTTTAAGAAGAATTATGCGGCAGACATAAACTCAACTTTGTTTGTGCGTGGGTTCCGTTTTTCCGTTATTTTCTGTAGGGGGGTTGCTGGTCGTGCCACTTCAAAAGGAATAAAATCGGAGGCAGAGGTCTGAACAGAAATACTCAAATCCCACCAAAAATACACACAAATTCGCAGTCGCGCAGTGACTTTGTTTTGTTTTGAAAAGTCTGGATGTGGCTCTTATTTTTGGTGGTGCTCTCTTTTTTTTTTGTTTTGCTTCGGGTGGCTGCCGTTAACTCAATAATAAAATTTATGTTTTATTTTTTTCAAGTGGCATCATCGCGAGCTGAAGCATCGCATGTGTTTGGTTTCATATTGAAGTTTATGTTTGGTATTTTATGCTCAAGTGAGCAGAAGAGTATACCTACTAAAATGGGGACGCCGTGTGCAACAGTTAACTACTGGGGAGCTCGCATTAGTTTCGCGTAGGGAATTATGCTCTTTACTATATTTACTGACATTTTCCGAAGAGCAGTGAAAGTTAATTTTGCCATCATACATTCCAGGATTGCTACGTAATATTCGCACTGGGTATTTTTCATTCGTTCCTGGAAGTCGAACCCACTTCTTGATATACATATCTACTGCCACGTGCATCATATAATATGGTCGTATTTTACTTCTCAATTAAATACCACTTTGCCGGTCATGAATGTCCATATTTGCTGCTGCTGCTGCTACTTCGACTGCACATAAATATTTATGCGGGAATTAATCAAAGAGGCCCAGCCATGAGGAAGGATGACGATGACGGAGGAGGATCCCGGACTTAAGCCAGCTTTGGTCTTTTCCAGCTCTCATCTCTTTTAATTTCGTCTATTTGTGTTGGAACAACTCATCGCTGTTTATTTAAACATTAAATGTGCTTACATTTGATTAGCAGAAGCCCGACTTTATTTCCATATCCAATGTGCCCGCCCAAATCTCGTTAAAATTATATAAAATTTATGTTTGCATTGCTTTCAAGTAATTTCTGCTTTATTTTCATTTTCCCGTACTCTGGCTTTTTTCGGTTTTGAACTCATTACAATTTCTTTTGGTTGGGTCTGTCTTTTATGTGGGCAGTCGCATTTAAATACATGAAATGCGCAATTAAAAACGAGGGCACAGTCCCTTTGTGAATTGAAACAGGATACAATTTTCTTTTAATTAAATATGTAAGGGCGTATTCATATTTAAACGCATATCGATGTTTAATTAAAAGCACTTTAAAAGTAAAAGCGAACTCATATATATACATATATTGTACGGCTTATTGTGCACAAAAAGCCTTACCCCATCCATGAGGGGTAGACTTTTTCAGAAGCTTTACTCGTTTGACTTTTTAAAGCAAACAATCTGTTTTGAAAATCACTGCACTCAAGCTGCTGTTGTGGCAGTTTTCGGTTTTTGGGAATCAGCAATCTGATGGCTGACAACTGCCACCGAATGCTACTGATGCCGGCACTGCCACAGCGCTCGCCAAATGTCAGCTCGTTGTCTCGATGACAAATGGGCGCATTTGCCTTTTGTCTGACAAGCACCCCATCGATATGGCAGAGTAGCGCCGTTTGGCAATAAAAATAAACTGTTTCAGCTATAGAACCAAACCAAAACAATACAAGAACGAAGCTTGGGTTCAGTGACCGAAACGTTGGATACCCTTGAATATAAGGTCACAAAAACGTTAGCTTTAATGAGTAGTTTTTCTAACGCTAGTCCCAAAATAATGATTTAATCTTTGCGATTCCATCTAGAATATATAATCTAGAATA